GAATACCAGAGGATGTCTTCCTATAGGTAATCTATGAAGTACCTTTTCAGAAACTCTGAAGGTATTATTAGCCACAGAATAGATGCTCAGTTTAGCACACATTCTGAAATCTCTCATTGACCTCCCAATGTGTAGCAGGCATGGGAACTGGGGCTGAGTCTGCAGACATCAGAAACACACTAAGCCCCAGCTCTGGCACACCACACCACCTTCTTTATCAAGGTCGAACAAGCCACCTGCTCTTGCCTGCAACTCATAGAATTCACATCAGTGATGGTGGCTGGAGCTGTTGCCGTGGAGCTCTCACACCTTAGGATTTCAGTTTCCTTGGTGATTAGCCAAGCATGAGCCTGACAGCCTTCACAGAGAAAGAAAATGCATGTGATTTGGCATTTCATAACTTTTCTTTGTGTACCCAGGAAAAAAAGGTATTTTGCAGAATTGTAATTCACAACCATGGTGAAAGTTTTATACTCCCTTTTTCATGTATAGCTAACTTAATTTATCTTTTAATTATATTTATTGCAGTACCAGAGTGTTACAGCAAGTACTTCCAAAAAAGCAGCACACTGCCAGGTTCCCTGGTTTACACTGCACCCCTCATTTGGCATCCACACAGAAGCATTTAGATGAATATTGCTCACTGCTGAAACATAAGCAAAATGCTAAACTTCCTTTGGAGTCATTTTATTGAACAGAATCTTTCCAAAGGAAATCTTTGAATACATGAAAATATTCTTAAAGACTTGTATTAGGCTGCATGCATATAAATTTCTCTATTACATGCATGAGGGACACTGTCATTTATAGCATGAACCCTATCTTCCAATCCTTAAAATGAAAAAAAAATGTGAAGACAGAGGGGAAAAGGAAAGAATTTAACTTGGTCTCTATCATTTGCAACTTTCATGGTTTTCTTGTCTCATCCCTCAAATAGCAAAACAGCAAGAAAAGGAAGAGTAGGGCTGTGAGCAAAGCAGTTGTGCTGAATGACCTAGAAATGCCTCTGCTTAAAACCTGCTTCCTGCTGGCTCAGCAGCTCCTGTTATGTCCCCCACACCCCGGAAACACTGCTGAGAGGACAGACCTTTATCTATTCTCATGACATCACAGACTCACCAAGATACAGGGGATTTTTAGGGTACATTGAGTTCTTCCTTGGTGGTTTCCCTTTCATAGAAATTTCTCTGTCCGTTCAGCTAAGCTTTGAGGTTCACTGCCCTTTGAAGTGCCCAGGAACCTGGTGGCCTTGTCCCACTGTTTTGTAGCTTCCATGGTTTCTCTTTTCTTTCCTCTTCTGCCTCCCAGAAGCCACTGGTCTCAGTAAGATCCAGATGTTAAGGCTGATGAATATCACATGCCTAGCTTTTCAGGGGGACTTGCTTTATTAGAAAAAAAATTTTCGTAAAGTAATGAATGAATTTTGACTGGAAAAATTACAAGTACAGGATGAGAGTCACCTTTTTGGATAAGCAGCCCATTTAGCCACCTCAGAATAGATAACATAGATGACTCCATGAATCTTTCTCAAGTCCATAATGTAAAAATATTCTGAGAAGTTCTGAGAAGACAATGTGGGAGAACATTAGAAGTAGGTATGAGGGATATTATTAGAAAACTACAGGTATTATGCAAAGCTAGATACTGACAAGCTTTTTCATTTATCTTTAAAATCACCTTGAGAAAGAGAGAGAGACATCTACATTACCTTCCATATTCTTTAGATGAGAAGTCATAAAGTATCAATATCTTGACCCAGGTTACCTTCCAGGCACTGGGGCTTGCTGGAGAGGTGGGCTGCCACGCAAGGCTGGTGCTCTTTCCACCACAGATTCATGCCTCCTGGAGAGTTGGGCCTTGGAAAAAAGACTTGGCATTTGCAGCTGGAAACACTGGAAGGAAATTTATTATATGGAAAGGCAGGAGTGTTGTTAAGAATTTTGGATCACAGTGGCAGAAAGTGAGCAGAAAAGCATGATAGGAAGCACCTGGAAATATGCCATATATCAAAGGATTTTATTAGGGGACATGGACATCTTTCTTAGATAGTGAGGATTTATCAGAAGTTTGACATGAACAACTGTTGAGTTAGATTTTTGGTTTTTTATTCCCAGAGCTGAACATACCATTGTCACTTCCCTCAAGGTATAAGTCCAGTTTGCTGAAGAAGTTAGGAATGGCCATCACAAAGCAGGGACAGAACAGAAGCAAAGGCAATCAAGGAATGTTATTTAGAGAAAATCAATCAGGTAGTCCAACTGCACATGTGTGTTTGAGTGTGCGTGTGTGTGTTCAATTCAGACTCATCACATTCCCATGAAAAAACTAGGATAGAATGAGCCATATAGAGGACAGCACTTCACTACAGGATCAGCTGTAGGACATTAAATGACTTGCCCAAGTCCACATAGGTTCAAAGTGGCTTAGGAGAATGTGTTCTGACTTCTCTTCCATGGTTTCACTGGGCACTGCTCTCCTAATGCAGGAAGGCACAGAGAAGAGGAATCTCTAGATTAAAGTTTCTCAACCCCAACACTATGAGCATTTAGGCCAGATAATTCCTCATTGTGGAGTTGTGTAGTACACTGTAGAATGGAGACTATGGTAGCATTTTTTATCCTCTCACTCCTTCCATTGTGACAAACACAAATGTTTTCAGAACTGACAAGTGTCCCCTGGAGTCACCATAGCCCCTGGCTGAGAAGCTCTACTCTAGATTGTATAAAAATTGCTCATATTCAACAATGTATGATATGTAACATAGTATATAGTTCACATTTTAATATTGATAAGCCATGTTCTGTCACAAGAGCAAACTGGGCAATTAGGTAGTGATTTAGGAGTATCTGAAAGTTGTTTAGTTTTTTGGCATTGCCTCAGCTCAACCAGTCTTGTGGTCCAAATTCATAGTGGAAAAATATGAGAAACTTCAGGACATCTTGGAGATTTCTCTGCCATTTAAGTTCTAACAACAAAGAATGAAGACTTGGGAAGGCTTTTTGTAAGGATGGCATGGTGAGGCACTAGACTTTGAAAGCCACTTAGGAAGCAAGCTCATTAGGGGTTATTTGGCCTTTTTCTGTGTTCCTCTCATTAGACACATAGCCTCTTTCTCATGGGTTCCTTTTCTGTTTAGTCCCCTATTGCTGCCAATGAGACAGTCCTCTTGGGGCTATCTAGTTAAATTTCCAAAAGGACTGGGCTGATTATTGCCGTTATTGGTCTTATGACCCATACTCCCTCATGGGTGATGCAGCATGAAGAGGGGTCATTCACTGGGAGGCTGCCTCCCTTGGTTCAGTCCTGACCCACCTAGGGCAAAGGACAACCCATGACACCTGACCATAGTGCCACACCTCAACATGTTTTCACAAGAAGCAGATGCAGCTATTGAAATGGACAAATCTTATGGCTGATCTGACTTCTTGAGACTACATTAGAGTTCACACTTAGTTGAGACTGGGAGAGGCAATAAAACCAAGTCTTTTTTTTTCTTACTTCTTAAAAATTTATTGTGTACAGTTACAGTTGTCCTACCTTTTTCCCCATTGCACATCCTTACGCCGTCCCTCCACTCCCACAGCCAATCTCTCCCATGGTCCATGCCTATGAGTCCTCTATTCATGCTCCTTTGTTTTCTCCTTCACCTTCTTCCCCCCATTTTCTCCCTCCCCCCTCCCCTCTGGTCACTGTCAGTTTGTTCTTTATTTCCAAGTCTCTGGTTCTATTTTGCTCATTTGCTTGTTTTGTTGATTAGGTCCCACTTATAAATGAGATCATATGGTATTTATCTTGCACCACCTGGCTCATTTTACTTAACATAATGCTCTCTAGTTCCATCCATGCTGTCATGAAGGGTAGGAGTCCCTTCCTTCTTTCTGCTGTGTAGTATTCCATTGTGTAAACGTGCCAGTTTTTTGATCCACTCATTTACTGATGGGCACTTAGGCTGTTTTCAGCATTTGGCTATTGTAAATAATGCTGCTATGTCTCTTTTCAAAGACCAAGTCTCCCAGGCCAGAGTGGAACATCAATAAAAGCAGACAATGAAGTCATTTAAGCATATTTATAAGTAAACTGTCCTTAGATAATCCAGAATTTACTTTTTCATATGTTTTCTTCATCTTAAAGGTTTCAGATTAATGGTTTAAATACAAAAGGACCTTTTAATAAAGAGACTGTTGAATTCATTAAACTGATATCACATTTTCTTTTCAAAGTGTCACAGAGTCTTTCTATTTGGTTTAGTGAGTTTTCTGCATAGGTTAGAGTTTTTAAGAATAAAGGGGACTACGTGAATGTGAGTCACCACCACATTCTTTTAAAATCAAAATCAGAGGAGGGCTTTGCAAATTAGAATGGGAGAGGTATCCCTTGTTTAATGTGCAAAATGACAGCACATGGGTGAGTGCTTTGAACCTACATATAACATGAACTCTAAGACCTGAAGATGCTTTTTAATGAATAATTTAAAACTTCCCCTGTGTCAAGTTATTCTCTTTTTTTTTAAGATTTTATTTATTTATTTTTTTTTAGAGAGGGAAGGGAGGGAGATACAGAGAGAGAGAGAGAGAGAGAGAGAGAGAGAGAGAGAGGGAGAGAGAGAGACATCAATGTCTCTCTCCCAGCCAGGGTACATCAGGAATGTACCCTGGCTGGGAATCGAACCTGGGACACTTTGCTTCCCAGCCCCCACTCAATCCACTGAGCTACGCCAGCCAGGTCAAGTTATTCTTTAAAGCAGTATTCTCCAACCTTTTTGGCACCAGAGACTGGTTTCCTGGAAGACAGTTTTTTTCAGGGACTGGGGAGGTGAGTGATGGTTTCAGAATGATTCAAGTGCATTTTATTCAAGCTCACCTGCTGTGCAGCCTGGTTCCTAACAGGCCCAGACTGGTACCGGTCCATGGCCCCCAAGATTGGGGCCCCCTGCTGTAAAGGAAATTGCTTTTGTGGTCATGTTTCATCATTAGTAATTATGCTATTTTCTTTTATCATAGGTAATGTATGAAATTGTTGGAGCAGTTGAAAAAAATAAAGACTCCCTTTCACAAAATCTTCTATTTGTGATGAAAAGTAAGTTTTTTCCCTCCTACAGTGAAAATACCACACATTTCTTATTTCTCTGAACATTGTCCTATAAAATATGCCACCAGCTAAAGGATAATTGGAATTCTTTTACATTCTAATGCTCAGAATAATAAAGAGTGAATCTTTTCACACTATACATTGGTTACAATTTAATTTGGAGTCTAGTAGAAACCATAATTTAACTAAGCTTTTAGCAGATAGAAATTTAAAGCACCTTTAACACTCTAGTTTATGAATATAAAAAAGCTCTGCTGTGAAGACTAATGAAGATGAACATGGTTTCCACAGTTATTTTGCCACAGCAGGGTGAATTCTGTTACTTAAGATGACTCTGGAACACACCTAAGGGGTAGTTTATTCTTACATATTTCACATAAAGAACTAATGCTCACAAAGTACAATAGAAGGAGTGTATAAATTTATATGTATGCATATACAGTCATATATGCATATTGCAATATAAATTTATAGGTTTCATCTACTTCATGAACCTTAGTACTTCATATATATGTATGTATATATATATCTATAATTCTATACAATTAATAATACTATATACTACATTTATATATTATAATTATATGTATGTCAATATAGAATTGCCTCTTTCAATAATTATTTTCTTAATAGCAGTTCTGCAGTGATTCACATTTTCCTAATAACACTTTCAATGAGTTAAAACATATCTTTTGTGCTTGAAGTTGCTTTGAGTGAGATAGAGTCATTTATCTTTCCTGGGGAAAGAAGCATACGATAGTCTCTCATGAAACAGGTGGAAGCCTTTGAGCTGGAAGTAAGACATCCATATCACTTCTGATTTGAGGAACATATTTATCTTAAAACAAAGATCGCACTTGCAATATATTTCTATTGTTTATTTGTTTATTTTACTGGTTTTATCTGAATGACATTGATTAATAATATTACATAGGTTTCATGTGTACAGTTTTATGATGCATCATCTGTACATTGTATTGTGTGTTCACCACCCCAAGTGCAATACATTGTTTTTCATGGAGAATTACTCTTCTTTTTTTTTCTTTTTTTCTTTTATTTATTTATTTATTATTATTTTTTAATCATTGTTCAAATACAGCTTTCTCCTTTTTACTCCCAATCTAGTCCCCCCTCCCACCCCTCCCCACTTCCCTCCCATTACCACCCTCTCCTTAGTTTATGACCATGTGTCCTTTAAGTTTGTTCCTGTGAACCCTTCCCACTGTCCCCTTAAATTCCCTCTACTCTCTTCTGTGGGCACTGTCAGTCTGGCCTCTATTTCAGTGTCTTTGGTTACATTTTGTTTGTTTCTTTGTTTTGTTATTTAGGTTCCTGTTAAAGGTGAGATCATATGGTATTTGTCTTTCACTGCCTGGCTTGTTTCGCTTAGCATAATGTTTTCCAGCTCCATCCATGCTGTTGCAAAGGGTAGGAGCTCCTTCTTTCTTTCTGCTGCATAGAATTCCATTGTGTAAATGTACCATAGTTTTTTGATCCATTCATTTACTGATGGGCATCTTGGTTGCTTCCAGCATCTAGCTATTGTAAATTGTGCTGCTATGAACATTGGGATGCATAGGTTCTTTTGAATTGGTGTTTTAGTGTTCTTAGGATAGAGTCCCAGCAGTGGAATTGCAGGGTCAAAAGGCAGATCCATTTTGAGTTTTCTGAGGAAGTTCCATACTGCTTTCCATAGTGGTTGTACCAGTCTGCAATCCCACCAGCAATGCACTAGGGATCCCTTTTCTCCACAACCTCTCCAACACTTGTTGTTTGTTGCTTTGTTTATGATGGCCATTCTGACTGGTGTGAAGTGGTATCTCATTGGGGTTTTAATTTGCATCTCTCTGATAGCTAGCGATATTGAACATCGTGTCATGTGTCTTTGGATTTTCTGTATGTCCTCCTTGGAGAAGTATCTGTTCAAGTCCTTTGCCCTCTTTTTAATTGGATTCCTTGTCTTCTTAGAGTACAGTCTTGTAAGTTCTTTATATATTTTGGAGATTAAACCCTTGTCTGAGGTATCATTGCCAATATGTTTTCCCATACAGTTGTTTCTCTTTTAATTTTGATACTGTTTTCTTTAGCTGTGCAGAAGCTTTTAATTTCGATGAGGTCCCATTTGTTTATTCTTTCCTTTATGTCCCTTGCTCTAGGGGACAAGTCAGTAAAAAAGTTTCTGCATGAAATATCTGAGATTTTCCTACCTACGTTCTCCTCTAGGACTTTAATGATGTCACGGCTTATATTTAAGTCTTTTATCCACCTTGAATTTATTTTTGTATATGGTGTAAGTTGGTGCTCAAGTTTCATTTTTTTGCACGTGGCTGTCCAGTTCTCCCAACACCATTTGTTGAAGAGGCTATTTTTACTCCATTTTATGTTGCTGCCTCCTTTGTCAAATATTAATTGACCATAGAGACTTGGGTTTATTTCTGGGCTCTCTGTTCTGTTCCATTGGTCTATGTGCCTGTTTTTATGCCAGTACCAGGCTGTTTTGATTACAGTGGCCTTGTAGTATAGTTTAGTGTCAGGTATTGTGATCCCTCCTACTTTACTCTTCTTTCTCAAAATTGCAGCAGCTATTCGGGTCATTTATAATTCCATATAAATTTTTGAAGTGTTTGTTCTATGTCTGTGAAATATGCCATTGGTACTTTAATAGGAATTGCATTGAATGTGTAAATTGCTTTGGGTAGTATGGACATTTTGATGATATTAATTCTTCCAATCCATGAACACGGTATATGTTTCCATTTGTTTGTGTCTTCCTTGATTTCTTTCCTGAGTGTTATATAGTTTTCTGAATACAGGTCTTTTACCTCTTTGGTTAGGTTTATTCCTAGGTATTTTATTTTTCTTTTTGCTATTTCAAATGGAATTTTTTTCCTTGATCTCTGCTTCTGCTGTTTCATTGTTGGTGTACAGAAATACCTTTGATTTCTGGATATTGACTTTGTATCCCGCTGTTTTGCCAAATTCATTTATTAGGTCAAGCAGTTTTTTGGTAGAGTCTATAGGATTTTCTATGTATACTATCATGTCATCTGCAAACAGTGACAGTTTTGTTTCCTTCTTTCCGATTTGGATGCCTTTTATTTCTTTTTCTTGTCTGATTGCTGTGGCTAAAACTTCCAGTACTATATTGAACAGAAGTGGTGAAAGTGGACGACCTTGTCTTGTTCCTGATCTTAGTGGAAAAGATTTTAATTTTTGCCCATTGATTATGATGTTGGCTGTAGGTCTCTCATATATGGCCTTTATTATGTTGAGGAATGCTCCCTCTATTCCCACTTTGCCGAGTGTTTTTATCATGAATGGGTGCCGTACCTTGTCAAATGCTTTTTCTGCATCAATTGATATAATCATGTGGTTTTTGTCTTTGCCTTTGTTTATGTGATGTATTACATTTACTGACTTGCGAATATTGAACCATCCTTGCATCCCTGGAATGAATCCCACTTGATCATGGTGTATGATCTTTTTAATGTATTGTTGGATGCGGTTTGCCAGTATTTTGTTGAGGATTTTAGCGTCAATGTTCATCAGTGATATTGGCCTGAAGTTTTCTTTCTTTGTTGTGTCTTTATCTGGTTTTGGAATTAGGATGATGTTAGCCTCATAAAAAGAATTTGGGAGACTCCCATCTTTTTGGATTTTTTGGAATAGTCTGTGAAGGATAGGGGTTAGCTCTTCCTTAAATGCTTTGTAGAATTCTCCTGTGAAACCATCTGGTCAGGGCTTCTGTGTGTGGGGAGTTTTTTGATTACTGCTTCAGTTTCTTTTGTTGTTATTGGTCTGTTCAGGCTTTCTGCTTCTTTTTCATTGAGTTTCAGAAGATTGTATTTTTCTAGAAATTTGTCCATTTCACCTAGGTTTTCAAATTTCTTGGCATAGTTCTTTGTAGTAATTTCTTACAATCCTTTGTATTTCTGTGGTATCTGTTGTATTCTCTCCTCTTTCATTTCTGATTGTGTTTATTTGTGTCTTCTCTCTTTTTTTCTTGATGAGTCTGCTTAAAGGCTTGTCGATTTTGTTTATAATTTTAAAGAACCAGCTCTTGGATTCATGGATCCTTAGAATTGTGCTTTTAGTTTCTGTGTCATTTAATTCTGCTCTGATCTTGGTTATTTCCTTCCTTCTGCTTGCTCTGGGCTGCCCTTGTTGTTGTTCCTCGAGTTCTTGTAGACGTAGGGCTAGGTTGTTTGTTTGGAATGTTTCTAACCTTTTTAGGTGGGCCTGTATAGCTATGAACTTCCCTCTCAGGACTGCCTTGGCTGTGTCCCATAAGTTTTGGGTTGTTGTGAGTTCGTTTTCATTTGTTTCCAGAAACCTTTTGATTTCTTCCCTAATATCATTCTTGACCCATTCATTGTTTAATAGCATGCTATTTAATCTCCATGATTTTGAGTGTTTTGGATTTTTTTCCTTCGGGTTGGTTTCTAGGTTTAGTCCCTTGTGGTCTGAGAAAATGCTTGGTATGATTTCAATTTTCTTGAAATCCTTGAGGCTTGTTTTGTGTCCTATCATGTGGTCTATTTTTTGAGAATGTTCCGTGTACATTTGAAAAGAATGTATATTTAGCTTCTTTTGGATGGAGGGCTCTGTATATATCAGTAAAGTCCATTTCCTCAAGGGTATTGTTGAATGCCACAATGTCTTTGTTGATATTTGTTTAGAAGATCTGTCCATTTTTGAAGTGGGGTGTTAAAATCTCCCACTATAATTGTGTTGCTGTCCATATCTTTCTTGAAGTCCTCTAAGATTTTCTTTATGTATTTCGGTGCTCCTATGTTGGGTGCATATATATTTACAATATTTATGTCTTCTTGATGGATTCTTCCCTTGGGTATCACGAAGTGATCTTCTGGGTCTCTCTTTATGGACCTTTTTTGGAAGTCTATTTTGTCTTATATGAGTATTGCTACCCCGGCTTTTTTTTCCTGTCCATTTGCTTGGAAGATTTGTTTCCAGCCCTTCACTTTCAG